GTACCGGTAGCCAGTCTAGTTGAGTTTGAGGTACGTAACCCTGGAGGGTCTACCGGTATGGACCTACTGTTGTTCCAGTTGACCTATGGCTTCTGCAACCCGAAACCCCAACGTCGAGCCAAGCAGGATGTTCCCAATATTTCAGGTTTTGCCTAGACTATCGGAATGTATCTGGCCGCGTTGGGGGGGGGGGCATCAGAGATCCAGCTCCTCGATAGCTGGATGGTCACGTCGCGCAGAAGCCCCTCCATATGCAACAGAGAACGTGCAGTCAACCCTCCAGAGATGCATGCGGCGGTTCCTTCCCTTTACGGTGCCATACATCGTACTGTACAGTACCGTTAACCTTGATTGTACGGTACCGGTACGTGTGCCACGATCTTACCCCCCCAGCTCTTCCAGCACTTTGTGATGGCTGTACGGGTCCCTTCAGCGTTCCACATGCTCTGGATTGCAAACGCGGCGGCTTAATCATCCGTCGCCATAATGAAATCCGCAATGAACTTGGTTCTATTGCATGTGAATGCTTTGGTTCCTCTTGCGTCCAGTCAGAACCACCCCTTCCCTCTGTTCCCGCCCCTACTATCCCTGCCGGTCACCCAATTTCTACCTTACCTCCCTTCCTCCCCCTCTCAATCCCCCCCAGCCCCCGAGCTCTTACGTGGTGATCTTTCTATTCGCGGCTTGTTTGAACGAGGTACTACAGCTATTATTGACGTACGTGTCACTGTTTTGGACTGTGCCTCTTACCGCAACAAAGATCCAGTCAAAGTTTTAACCCAACAAGGACGCGACAAAATTTCCAAATATAAAGACGCGTGCGAGTCCAATCGCGCTTTCTTCCACCCCTTTGTTGTTTAAGTGGATGGCATGCTTGCCCCTCAAGCCAAGACTCTCTTACAAGGCCTTGCTTCTGCTACTGCCTTCAAAACTCAATTTTCCTACTCTCAAATTATGTTTTTCATGCAGACCCGTATCTCAATTGCCCTTGTGAAAGCTACCCATATATGTCTCCGTGGATCCCACAAAGCCAAACCATTTGCAGAGTGAATCTGGCTTAGCCGAGCTCTTCAGCCAGTGGATGGACACAGGCTGTCCGATCTCTGATGCTGCAAACCAGAAATTCTTTGCGTTCATTCATTGTGTCATGTAAAAGAAGGCCATGTACTGTACCACCAAGGATGATGCTTCTGTCGAACGGCGACGAGTGAAAAGGGCATCTCACAGCGGCAATAAAAGGAACTTTTTCTTGCTGCTTGCAAAGCGATCCACCTTTGTAGCCGCATCCAGCTAAACTGTGGCTAGCTCACTCAAAATGGAACCTTCACGTTAGCTTACCAGTAATGCTTGTTACGAGGAGTATCATAAGGCAAGTTTGCCTCTTTCAGAAGTCCATCCTTGGCTGCATCATTGCCAGTATGCACCCTAGGAGGGTGTGCTTGCTGCTAGAAAACAGGTCTGTGCATCCACGACAAAAAGGGCTCGCCGGACCTATTGTATCAGTGTTGGTGGCTGAAAAGAAATCCTCGGCTTCTTTCAACTCCAGACATCAGCAACTGGGATCGAAACTGCCCAGCCACAATCTACATCACATACTAGCTAGCTAAATGGCTGGCCACTATGCATACAGTAGGGCAGCTTTGAGCTCAAGTCTCGGGAGTTCCAAAAGGCTCATTTCGATGATGACGCACGATGATCGCTCGGAGAGGTGGGAATTCGAAGGGATCTAGCACAAGACAGGGAGTCGCCAGAGTACTCTTTCGACGCATCATAAAATGCTAGAACTAAGAGCGAAGGGCGAAGGAAGGAGAGTTCGATGACTGCAGTGGGAAGAATTGTAGAATAATCTGACTCTATAGACTTCTAGTAACAGATCCCAGGACGAAGGGATGGATCTCGTAGGTTCTTCTTTACAATCAATGAGAAGGTTTACGAAGCACGGAAATGCTGCAGCAATGGAACCTTCCTTGAAATTTTCTGCGAGCAGCAATAACCACGAGGGCAGAATGGTGGATCAAAAGAACCATCCAGGGTAGCCATTGATTGGCACATCCATACAAGCAGTCATCCTAAGATAAAGATTTGAAATCTACAAAACGAAGGGATGTAACCATTGTAGCAAAGTCCAAAATCCAACCTCTCGCCCCAGCTTCGTCAAGCAGGTTCCAACCTTCAGCTTCGTCATGCAGGCTCCAGCCTCCAGCTTCGACAAGCCGGCTCCAGCCTCAAGCAGGCTCCAGCCTCCAGCCTCAAGCAGGCTCCAGCCTCCAGCTTCGTTCAGAAGGCTCCAGGCAAGCAGAGTGGCTGCTGTAGTGGCTTGTAGACACTGCTGCGGTATGCAGCCCTCTGAGTAAGGGTAGGGTCCAGGGTCCAAACAATGAGAGTAAGTAACGGCGTGTAGGTCTTTCGGCAAGCCCCAGATTCCAGGCAAGCAGAGTGAGGATGTAGGTATGTCCCCTGGTTGGTGCTTGTCTGCCTAGTAAGGTAGTACTCTGAGTGTAGCGGCAGTGGTTTGTCGCGATCCGCTAGGTGGAGGCTTTTCAGCCAACCGTTTCTTGGTGGAGTTCTACTTCGCCCTCGGGTAAACATTCTTGTTCGCTGAAAAGCCTCGAGGAACAGTACTAGGAACAGTACTAGTATTGTGCATAGGCTGCTCTGGTCCTCTTGGTGCAGCCCTTCATTTCGGCAACTGAACGAGCGAAGCCACTGGATGAACCGAAGAGGCCAATACCAGGTACCATAATTCCAAACCGATGGTACGTTGCTGACCTCTCCAGCTAGAGTCCTCCAGCCTGAGGCAAAACGGGTTGTATCGTTTCACGATGAAGAACACAAGAGGAATAGAGAGCCACCCTTGTCTTGAAAGCACTGCCTGTCTCATCAGAAAAGATGGGTGAAAGCTTGGCGCTGGCGGACCGAAGTATCGCATGCGACAGTGAAGTGCAAACGAACTGGCAACCGGTGGGATAGCTCGGTACTAATAAGCGGAGTGCAGAACCGGTACCAGGTAGGCTGCAGCGGAGACCTCCAGCCACAGAGTAGCCAATAGCTAGTACCATAGGTCTTCTGTAGCCTGCAGGTTGTACTCCGTAACAAAAGATAGGCAGTATGGTATGAGAAACCGGTTGGAAGGCTCGCAGCAGTCGGTTCCACCCCCACATGTAGTATCTTCGAACATTGCTTCAGCCAATTCGGCCTGTTAATTCTCCACATCAGGTGGCTCCTTCTTGTCTACTTCTGGAGATTGGAAACTAAAAGGAGTGTATTTCGCACATTATTTGACCTCCCCTCTTTCCTTTACATTCAAGCATTATGGAAAACTGTACTGTTCAATTCTCCCCCAAAGTTTCAATGCTAGATCCTGCACCTCAAACAAAGTATGAACGTTCAGCGTTCTATAGTTCATGTTTGGCGACAAGCAATGAAACCAGCCAGGTTCACTTCCCCATCTACAGCAGGTAGACTACCAGGTACCCCTGAGCACTAGCTAGTCGTCGTGCACGCAGACTGGCACACTCTGGCACCTGGCACCCCACTGCTGGTTCAGCTGAATTTGTGTGATTGATATGGGGAATCAAGTAAGTGTATTAGAGTGTGGTAGTGAAGGGGTAATTATTTTGATGAAAACTTAGTTTACTTACCTCAACATCCTTGCAGTCACAGTAGCCAAAGAAGCTTGAACTTCATCTACACCACTTCTCATCGAACACTGGAGTAAAGCGCACATTTAGGTTCAAGTTGTGCCATCAGCTGTTTTGCTGTAGATCTGCTTCAAACTTGGGTCCAGTGAGTTCGCATGGAATGATAAACTCATTTCCTGGCTACTTGTAGTACCAGTATTCGTAGATTCGTAGTTTAGGCCACATCCAGTGAAGTTGGGGAATGGAAGCAGAATCGAAGCCACTGCTGGTATTTGCAACCATCACCTTGGTTCATAACTCTGAAACCAGTTTGCTTCACTAATGCAAAAACCACCAACCATGGCTCTATCCAACCTTTCCGTTGACTTCACCAACCGTGAAGTGTTCTTTGACCTGAGAGACAATGATTCAGTTTCTTCCTTAGGGTCCACATCTTCCTTTGATGAAGATGACAGCGACGACGAGAGCCTTAGTAGTCATAAGATGCGAGATGATAGGGAGCGCGCCGCATGTTCTTTCTACCAGCGAAAACAGAGATCAAGTCGAAAGAACCTCCGCAACATGTCTAGTAGCAAACTGCATCGTCGTCACCTCACATCTCCTGATCTCAAGATCGACCAGTTCAACAGCAAGAGCAACGAACCAGGAGCAGCCAACTCCAGATGGATATCTGAAACTACAACAAGCTTCACGAATTTGACCGTCACTCCGCCAGGCTCCAAGACCAACATGCGGAAGTCACGCAGTCTGGAAGACAAAGGGGTCAACGCCAACGATAGATGGACATCAAAGACCTGCAAAAAGTCCAGACCGAAGATTACTAACGAGGTTTTGGATATCAGCGGTAATACCCGAGCTTCGGCTGATTCCAGCAAAGACTCCTCTGGAAGCAACAGATGGTCAGCAACGTTGCCCCCAACTAACCCGCTCTTTCGTTCCGCGACAGTGGACCACGCTCCACGTACTCCAAGGAGTTCACTATCTGATCTCAAGAACATCCGCCGCTGTGCCGCTGAAGAGCCTCCCGCTTCGCACAATGCTCGATGGGGTGCAATCCCATCAGCCCCACCCCGCGCCTCGTACCCCTCAATACTGCCCTCGCCTCCGAGACACCCACCGGCCCAAAGCCGCAGACGCACGTCTCGAGATTCTGCTCCTGATCTTCTTCGATGTCGGTCGCACAAGGTTGTGAGTCCTGATGACGGAGGCCACGAGAAGAACGCAACGTGGGCCTCTGGTGGACCGAGGTCGCCGCTCTCTTCGTCTACAGACCTCTCTCAAACAAGCAGCACCAGGAGGCCCCCCCTTCCCGTGCGAGGAGCCCTCAGTCGATGGAACTCATCCTCAAGCTTCACTGTGAACAGCATGAGCGCCGCTTCGATTGATCAGCTGTCTACCAAGCCAAAGCTTCCCAAACGTCGACCTCGTCGCCGTTCGACGAAGAAGAGCAGGACGCCTTCCGTTGAGCAATTGGGCACACCTCAAGGTCAAGTCACCGAGCGTACACGCGAGAATGAAAGGAGCGAGAAGACTGCCCAAGACAACGAGCAAGTGCGAGAGACAAGGCCAGAAGAGCCGGTATTCGTTGAAGGTGCCACGTTGACGGCAGGCACAGGTACACAGGAAGCAACCGAACTTCAGGAAAGAACAAATGAAGAAGAAACGAAGATGGATGCCAGCGTCGAAGGTGCCCCGAAGGTTGGTGGTGTTCTCCTTCAAGACGACACCTCGGGAATGGAGGATGATTCTTCAAATAAGTTTCATCTCCGGTATTCCATGCCTCCATGCATGGAATGCTTTGAAACCATTCCTGAAGAAGCTAACGAAGATGAGGTCAAACCACCGCCTCTCACGAATCTTCAGCATCAGTGCTCTGACAGCTTGCTCCGGGCTCCAAAACGGCGCAAGAGTGCCAGCTCGGCTGCGTGTCTAGAGGATGAGTCCGAGCTATCGATTTCGCTGAAGGACACATCGTCGCTTTCGGTCTCTGTATCGAAGGAGACCTCCTCCTCCTCGTTTCTCTGGGATCTCAGTCTCTCCAGTAAGCGAACGACTGATCATGACACCTCC